CCACTCGCTGCATGAAATCCCACCCACTGTGTTGTGAGGCAGCATACAGCTCTCTGCAGATGTGGCCACATGAGTTTTTGGGGCTTTTCAGGATCCAAAACATGAATCAAAATAAAACTCTTTTCCTTATAATGTTTTTAGCTTCAGATATCTTGTAGCAACCCACAGTGGACAAAGACAAGTCACTTGCCTGTTGATGGCTCAATTAAGTTTATAAACTGCAAAACAAATGAAAATGATCATTTATTTGACTTAATCTTTTTTTTCTTTCTAGCAGTTATTGAAAAAGAAATCAATAACAGTAAGAAGCTACTCTCCCAGGCCAGAAAAGCATTATGTTCATTATGTAAAATTGTAGAATTTTTTCTTAAACTCTCCTTCTCTTTGAATATACTATATGAGAAAATGATTTTTTTTCTAAGAATATCATCTATGCTTTGTCAAAGGAATATGGACTTTGAATTCAGATAGAGCTTGGAATTCCTTATCATTTAATAGCTATATGACTAATTTACTTGGCCCCATGAAGTAATACTTTTTTCATTTCTACAGTGGGGGATAGTAATACTTATAGGGTTGTACAAAGGATTAAATCAGGTCAGTTATGTATATAATGCACTTGTCATGTAGTAGGTGCCAAAGAATAGTTAAAATTAACACCACTATTGTTGTCACTAGTATTGTTATCTGTTATATAACTATTCTGTTATTTTAAAAATATTAAGAGAGAACTATATAACAACTTTTAGAAACAGATTAGCCTCATCAGGCAGCCTCAACAAGTTGTAAAGATAAAGAGTTTACACTAAGAACAGCGATAAAGAGGAAAGGAACAGATAATTAATTGAAAATTTTTTCTCAGTCAAAAGTCAATTCCCTGGGTTTGAATGAAAGCTTACTTTCTGCAGGATTTCATTTATTTAGACAATCATTTATTCATCCATTGAAAAACTGCATATTTATATAACATGAACTATATGCCATGCCTTGTGGATGAAGAAAGATCAAGATATAGGAGCATTCAAAGAGAATTTTATCTGAAATAAGGAAGGTGCTTTTTCAAACTATAGACATACAAAGATAAGCTCATGCTCACCAATAAAGAATATAAATTAATAAAATTATGAAATACTTTCATAGAATTGAGAAAATTAGAAAAACTAATAGCATTTAAAATTAGCAAAAACATAAGGATAGCCATCCTCATTCACTGTTGGGAAATATATAATTTTTATAATTATTTGGAGCCATATTTGGGCAATTTGACAACAGTTTTCTAAAATTAAATTGTACATAGCTAGCAATTCTAGTTTTAAGAACTTATCCTACAGAAGTAATATCATGGGAACAAAAAGATAGTCATATAAGAGGTTTGTTATACTATTGTTCATAATGATATAAAATAATTATGTAAAAGGGAAAACAACAGATTAGTATATGCTTATTTTGCTTATATGTTACTGTGTACAAATTATACCAAAAAAATAGTAATTTTAAACCACATTTATTATCTCCCAGTTTTTATTAGTAAGGGTTTGGGAATGGCCTAACTGGGTGTTTCTGTCTCAGGGGTGTTCTGCTATTACAATGCTGATTGAGACTACAGTTAGTTGAAGGCTTGACTGGCCCTGCTTCCAAGAAGGATCCCGTACATGTCTGGTGACAGGGGTTCTCAGTCTCTTACACAGGGATTTCTCCATTTGTCTGCTTGGGCATTTTCATGATAGAGCAACTGGCTTTTCCTAGAAAAAACACTGAGAGAAAGAGCAAGATGAAAGCTACCACCATATACCCAAAAAAAGTAAATACATGAAATAATTTATGTGTTAATTAGCTCAGTGTAGCCATTCCACAAATGTATACATATTTCAAAACATTATGTTGTACAGCATATATGTATGTATGCATATATTACTGTGTGTATATATATGTGTCATATATATGTCAAACAGCTAATTTAAAAAGGCTATAACACCTTTGATGACCTAGCCTCAGAGTCACATAAAATTATTTCTATAATAATCTATTTATTATTAATAAACCACCAAGTCCAGTACAAGAGGTGGAAAAGTAGGCTCTATCGTTTGGAAGAGTGTAGACATATTGTAAAATGATGACAATTTGTCCTCTGGCTATGGATTATTCACATTTTTACACGGGAAAGTATGTTCATTCTCTTTCAAACTCATCACTCAACCCCAAATCACAGTCTTTCATAGCACTGCTCAAAGTCTAGAAACTTATCTTCTTAATCAGATCCAGACAAGGCTGAGGCTTTTCCCGTGTTGTGAGCTAAAAAGAGAAGTTGTCCACCCAGTCTCCCAAAATCCATTTGTAGGATAGACAGATAATCAATCTAGGTTTTCATATTCAAAAGAAAAAAGTTGGAGGGCTAACACAATAACTGGTTCACAGCAGTTTTGAAATCTACCCAGGCCCAGCCCAGAAACTCCATGTTTGAAAGGCAAGGAACTGTCCAAGGATGAGTCTTCATGGTTTTATCCTCTGGGGTCTCACCTCTGATTCATCCTTCCATTTGATCCATCCTTCCAGTTTCACAAAGCTTTGTGGTTCTCCTGTGACTTTTATAGGGATCCACTTCATTAGATACAATTCACATCCATAAATCTTAACAGTGGAAGGACAATGTCCTTATATTTCTTCAAAGCCTTATTGAGGCAGGAAATTAGGGTATGGGAAGCCAGCAGGAAAATTGGGTGTGACCTGTCAGTCACAGAGATCTGTCAAACCATGGCTAGTAGGCATGTGCAAAGCTGCTTGGAAGCCCTATGTCAGATGTAATGTCAGAAGGAGACATAAAAGATGGAGACCATTGGCCTCATCGCCACTGTCCTCTTCTTGCAGTAGTCCACTCTGCAAAGCGTATCTTCTCTTTTCTTGTCAGAGCACTCTTTGAGCATTTTTTTCTTCTTCCTTTCTTTTTTTTTTTTCCACCTTAAAACATTAAATGTTGAACAGGACAATGAGAGCCTGGAAAGGACCGCTGGGCACCTCACTGTGTGGTAACACTGCTCTTTGCCTAAAAAATTCTGAGACATTACCTTAGATCTTTCTGAGGTTCAGAGCAAAGCATTTTACAGCCACACTGTCACCTTCATCTCTGCACCATGGTTTTCTAGCAGTACTCTGAATTTTATTTTTGTTGGGAAGTCCTTTGTTTTAGGTTTGTTTGTCATTTGAAGAGGTTAGGAATCTTTAAAATCATCCCGTTTTGGCTTCGCATGTTTAACAATTACTCGTTTATCTTTTCCTTCTCATATTTTATAATAAACAATAAAAAGAAATCAGGTCAAACTTTCAGTGCTTTATTGGGAAATGTTCTTAACTGGATTGTCCAAGTCATTAGGTACATTTTCCACTTTCCACATTACCACAAGAGATAGTATTGATAACTTTCTGTCACTTTGTAACAAGGACCCCCCTCTTTTCTGTTTCCAATAAGCTTTTTCTCACTGTCCTTTGAGCCTGTCAATCTCAACCTCCCAGTGGCTATCAGGCTTCTGTCAACAGTTTCATGAGGCTTTCTGAGATGCTTCTTCAAAAGCTGTAAATACTCTTTTGCCCACTACCCGGTTCCAAAGCCACCTGCACAGTTCTAGGTTTTATCATGACAACACCTTGTTTCTAGGTACCAAAATCAGTATCAGTTATCCATTTATAGGTAACAAATTACTCCGAAACATAGCAGCTTATAATACTTCATTATATCATGGTTGCTGTGTGTCTTGGTTACTTTTCTCTTGTTGCTGAGACAAAATACCCAACGCCCAAATGAAGGAAGGAAAGATTTATTTAGCTTACAGTTTGTGGAGGTTTCAGTCCATACTTGGCTGGCTCCGAGGCAGAAGATAGCAAAGCAACCAGAGCAAAAGGGAGGAATGGCGGCAAGCAGCCTCTTTCCCTTCCTTACATTGTAAACAGGCTACCCCCACCTAAGGGGTGTGTAGCTCTCACATAATCTCCATGCCCTCCTCTTCCACAGGCTCAGGATGTATACAAAGTAAGCACCCTGGCTTCCTGCTGAGTCACTTACCCAAACCTGTAGACTCCCCAAGTTGACACAATGTATCAACCATAACACTGTGGTTCAGAAATTGGGGAGCAGCTTTACTGGATAATTCTGGCTCAAAGTCTCTTACAAGATTACAGTTCAGTTGTCCATCAGGGCTGCTATCATCTGAAGGCTGGGCCAGGGCTGGAGGATCCACTTCCAAGGTAGCTCACTCTCATGTTCTTTGGCAAAGGGCCACAGTTCCTCACTGGCTGTTAGCAGGAGGGCTCTTTTCTTTGTCTTATAAGCATTCTTTGAGGGGTGGTGGTGGTGAGAAACAGCAGCTATGTACCTTCTGTGCTTTATTCTCTGAAGTCACACTCTGTACCTTCTGCCGTATCCTAACCATTAGGTTACTGATGAGGCACTAAGTTCAGCCTATACTCAAGAGGTGAATTAGGTCACACCTTTTGGAGGGTGGAGGATCAAGAATTTGTAGACTTATTTAGTGAATGCATTCTCAAACCATTAATTGAGGCACTCATTTAAAAAATAAAGTCGGGTGCAGTGGTGCACCCCTGTAATCCCAGCACTTGGGAGGCTGAAGCAGGAGGATTGCTGAGTTCAAGGCCAGCCTGGACTGCATAATGAGATTCTGTCTCAAAAATCCCCCAAAAATTAAAAATAAGATATGTCAAAAAATACTGAGAAAGATGGTAATATACTATTATCTGAAAAGATGTTTTATTACCATGTGTATAACACAATCCTATATTTTGTGAGAAAGAAGTTTAACCTTGCATATGTAGATAAAAATATAAAATCTTCCAGAATTCTACAGTCTAAAATGTTGCTAACACTTACAGATGTATGATAGGTGGTTGAAAATGAGCCTAGTGGAAATGAAAAGTGAATTTTACGTATTACCTTGAAAAGAGGTAGGATTTATGCATGATTCTTTTACTTCCTCAATTTTTTTGTTTTTCAGACTTTCTAAAATAAGCATGTGCAGTGAACACATTGAATAATTGTGTTTAATGGCAAGAAGTTCAACATTTAACTATAAATACGGAATTGGGACAAAAAAATACAGACATGAAGGCATAACCATTAAGTCTCAACATCATGATCAAATTTTCATAAGGAAATAATTTATTACAACTGAAGTTTTGATTTGTTAAAAGTAGTTAAAGTCAGCCACATGAACAGAGAGAAATATAACTTCAATTTTATTTCTTGTATCACAGGTAAGTGTTGATACAATTTTAAGATAATTCTATCTTAACAATCTAAAGATATCCCTACAAAACAAATGGTGTCTGGTTAAAACAGAAACATGGCAGATCGAAACATCCTTTACCTAGTCTTTTTTTTTTTTTTTTTTTTGGTTCTTCTCCGGTACCGGGAACCGAACTCACGACCTTGCACTTGCCAGGCAGGCTCTTTGCCGCTGAGCTAAATCCCCAGCCCCTACCTGGTCTTTTGAAATTCCACTATGGAGCTGGGTGTGGTGGCGCACGCCTGTAATCCCAGCCCTCTGGAGGCTGAGGCAAGAGGATCATTGTGAATCTGAGGCCAGCTTGGGCTACAAAGTGAGTTCAAGGCCAGCCTGAACTGCATAGTGAGACCAAGTCTCAAAAAGATCAAAAAAAAAAAATTAGCTTGACATTCCACTTTGATGTCATTCAAAGCTAATAATATGTGTACAGACTCAGCTTTGAGGCGGGAAGAAGGTGGGAGGGGAATGGGGAGAGAGAGAGAACAGTGCAATTTTGAAAGCTAGAAAGCTCATGGTTCAATGGTAATAGGCTCCTCAGATCAGAGCAAGAGAAATTGTAAGCTCACAAGGGCTAAAGCTTAGAAACCTATACCGGATATTTCCAAAAAAGTTTCAGGAAATCTGTCTACTTCATTCAGAACGTATGGGGCACAGGTAAAGATGAATTAAAGGGGATTGATTGAAAATTTAAAACAAATACAGCTTATGTCCCAGATCCTCTTTATAACACCACTGCATTCTTAGGCAACACCTTTTTCCCGACCCTGGAAAAGATTAGAGATTTATCCTCTGGAGACTTTAAACCAGAGGATTCTGGACTTAGGGCATATGGCAGAGAGGAGGGTAAGAGTACCGAACCCAAGAGAGGGCTACTGAGTGAGTCTCTGTACAACCTCTTCCTGATGTTGGAATGCTGGCCACCATATTTAAAGACAGAAATTGGAGGGTTCTAGGGAAAGTCATCAGTACACAAGAAAAGCAAGCAAAGGAAACCAGCAGAGGGGAGTCCTGTAATGAAAGGATTGTGCTTTTCTCAGTCATTCTTTAGTGAAACCCAATTTTTAATATCTTTCTCTTTCTCTCTCTCTCTCTCTCTCTCTCTCTCACACACACACACACACACCCACCAGCTTTCTTTTTATTATGAGCCAAAATAAGAATGACAAGAGATTTGATGAAAACTGTTAACATCAGTTACCATACTATAGCAGCTGACACCAACATATAGCTACACAATTTAAAAATGGTTGCTTCTGGGAGTGAAAAATGAGTGGGAAGAGGTAGATCAAGTAACTACTGGATTTCATTTTAAGCTTTTGAAAACTATTTGACATATATGTATACAAACATACACATATACACAAAATACACTTGGGAAAGCTATTTTACTATCATATATATTTGGTAAAAATTATGTACATCATTTGAAAGCTATTTGACATATATATATACATATTTGGTAAAAATTAAAATGAAACAAAAAGAAAATAAGCATTAAAACTATCTTTTGGAGGGTACAAATGCATCATGAATATTGCCTCACCTTTAAAAAAAAATGTGGTCCATACGAGACAGTATTAATTGAAAACAGCATTCTTTTCTCCTGGAGATGGACTCATAAACTTTCCTATATGTATTTTCAGAATTAGGTCTTCAGATGAAAACTACTTTGCCATTTTGGCCCAAGGGAAAATTTTCAATTTCTTACAGGATTGACTTTGCACTTCTCAACTGAAGAGGAAGCAGTGCAGGGCGTGTTTCCTGATGTACTGAGCTAGAGCATATGTCCTTGCCTACTCGGTTCTGAAGAATACCGTACAGGATGGTAGTTGCTACTGTTAGACTCTGTTATGCCAGTGAAATTGCTACAGTTGAAGAAAAGCTATTTAGGATTAAAATAATTTTTTGAATGTGAACATAAAGACATTCTTTGAAGCCTCACAGCACTATGATTAATAGAATTTTATTACTGAGAGTGTTCAAAGGATTGCATATCTCATCAATAGCAATATTGAATTCAATGTTTCATAAGAAAATCATGTTTCTTCAGGTCAATATATAGATAATTTACATTTGGAGATGAGGCTACCATGACAGCATGAGAATTTAGTGGGGTCTGACCAGCTTCAGAAATGGGATTATCAAAAGAAAGAGATAAGACATGCCTTGTGATAGAATGTCTGAATTATTTGGATAATGTCTAACAGTCATTTGCAGAAACATGTTATCATTCTTTTATCTTTTCCTTTATATGTTTCATTTCTACCACTATAGCAGTGAAATTAGCTGTTCTATGATGCTGAGTTTCTGCACAAGATTTAAGACATAATCCATCAAGCACAGAATTTGTCAACATTTTTTGGTAGAACTTCATATTCCCTGGAATTTGGTTGCATCTGCCTCACCTTTAGACTAATCACAAGGCTAGTGTGAGAGGGTGAAAGTCTATAGAATGAATTTTTTGGCCTACAAAGGCTCAGGTGAAATTATATCTCAGGTCTTGGAGAGGAAGATCTAGGCAGAGCATGGCAAAGGAGACACTGAGAATTGGGGGTAATAGTATAATGGTAGGAAAGGTATCAGGAGTCCTGGGGCCTCAAATTCTGCCAAGTTAATGGAGTGACACTGGAGAAATCACTTAGCCTCTGCCTTATTTTTTTAATCTATAAAATGAGATTGTTGGATTTAGTGATCTCTAAGATCCTTTGTTGCCCCTGAATTTCTGATTTATTATATGTCAGAATTCCTATGGATGAGTGTTTAAACAGAAAATATGTGGGTTGGCGGCCTGTATCTTTGTGAACCCAAAAAGCATGACCCATCTGAAGAGCAGCGCAGAAACTGGTGCAGAGCATGTAGAAATCGTTCAGATAGCTTTAAGGCTGGTACAATTATACCTGGTCAGAGGAAGGTATTAGGAAGCTGTGTACTATTTAGAAAATGTCTCTGCTGAGACTTAAGGATAAAGCTTCAAGAAAAATGCAAACAAAGTATCTAAATGTGGGAAAGGATTTATATATTCTTATTTGCAGACAATGTTTAGAAAGGAATATTACAGGGTTTTTTTGATAAGGAAGTTTAACTTTATTAGGACATGGGATAGCAACTCAGATCACACTTTTAGACTTAGCTAAAAAATTTGGGAAAATAAATTATTTTTGTTTCAGTCGTAGTATTGGGTAAATTGAGGGTTTAGTAGTTTCTTGTGCTGCATAAGGGAACATACCCCAGTGGAGTGCCTAGGATGAAGACTCTTGAGTCAGAACTGGATTTGAAGTCCAGCTCCATCATTTGTCTCCTGTATGGCACTGTGGATATTAAGCAATTCCTCTGAACTGTTTCTTCATCTCTGAGGAAAGAATATATCTCTAGTAGAAATTTTCCATTTTTGTTTGCCTGATATTTTACCACCTTCCATGTGGTTAGGTCAGGTAGGGGCTGAATTCACCCTGCCATATGCACGTGGTTGAATATGACTGGGCCCTGGCCACCCTCATTATGCTTCTCTCTAACAAGTCTCAGTTCAGACATAAGCAGATGACCTATGCAGCAGATCAGTTTGAATCTACTGATGTCTACCACGATAGCTATGCAGAGTAGACTCAGGGAACAAGAGAGACACATGTAGGAATAAGGATAGTGATAGAGAGGGATGGAGAGAGCTGAAGGTCGAGACTGAGATGGGAGAGGAACAAATTTAAATAGAGACAGGGACAGAATTTAGAGTACCTTAAAGTGGTTTGAGCTCTGGATCCACCTTAAATACCACCCTTGGAACTTTGACTGCCTGAGCCAGAGAGTTCCTGTTGCTTAAATGAGGTTGACTTTGGTTCCTATCACTTATAACTGGAAGAGTCCTGATACAATATTTATCTCCTAGGGTTATGGTGAAAATTAAGAAAAATAAAGCACATGAAGTACTTAGCAAAATTTTTGGCAGTGCAAAGTAGATACTGTAAGATGCTAAACGTAGAATAGCCATTATTAAAGCTAATTAAGTAAGTAGTTATTGCTACTTTTAAATAATTTTTTATCCTGAAAAGATTCAAGATGTAGAAGATATAACCTTGAAAAACTCCACTATACCAAAAAATTCTAGTATTAAAAAAATCATTGAATCTCTTTGTGACCCATGCGATAAAAAAATTGCAGCTGAGTCACTTAAGGGGCAAAGGTGTGCTTCTTAGGAAATGAGTCCCTAATGGGTTCATTCATTCACTCGTTCATTCAGTTTTTCATTCAGCATTCATATACTGAGTAACTGTAATGTGATTTTTGCAAGATGTACAAGGAAGAAGTAATTGAGGCTGTTTTCTAGAAACGAAGGATTTCAATGTAACTGATTGCTGCCATGAGCACATGTATCCAGGATAGCGGACCTCAGAGAAAGGACACAGACATGTGTTGTATCTGCAGGCATCATGTAAAATTTCATAGAAGGGCGACTCTGTAGCTGAGACTCGAGTTTCCCGGGTTGTAAGCATAAGGAGGACACGGTAGACAGGGGGAGCAAACACAGATCTGAAGCGTGAAGCAGAGTGCCCATCCTGCTGCAGGTTGGGGTCGAGGGTGAGGAGGAATTTAGTCAAGCTGCACAGGGAGCCCATCAACACGGCATGGCAGGCTTCATATAGTCAGTCAAGGAATTGAGCTAGGTGCGAAAGAGCACCAAGTGGTACAAGGGGCGATGTGGACAGAAGGGCTCAGAGGAGCGGATGAACGGCGTCAGCGGCAGGCACGGAAGAAGTGCCCAGGGCGCCTTCATCAGTTAGGACTCAGCTTTCCCGCAGATACTGCAAGGAACACAATGCCTTGAAAAAGACAGAGCTGTATTCTTTCCCATATAAACTAATCTGAAGGCAGGCAGGTCAAGACTGGTGAGTCCTTCAGTTGTCAGAGAACAAGGCTCGGTCACAGTGTAAACCTTATTTCACAATTGCACAAGATGGCTGCTACAACCCAAGCCATCAAGTTGGTGTTCCAGGCATTAGGTTTATAGGACAAAAACTCCTTATTGTCTATAATCAGCCCATTTGACTATATGCAACTGCAAGGAAGACTGGAATATGTAGTATGTGGGTGTACATCAATGTATGTAGCTGAAACCCAACGTTCTATTGCCTCAGAAATTATAAAAGGCATAGCAGGCTGAAATTAGCAGTCCCTGATGCAGAACTGGAGCGATGAAGTGGCAAGGCTGGGACGAGACGGGGAGCAAAGCTGTGCGCCGCTGCTCAAGGGGAGGAAGCAAGAGCAAGGGGCCTTGTTCACGTAACTGTGAGCACAGTGACAGGATCGTGCTCGGGCACTCACTCCTGTAACAGCTTTGTTCCATGAGACCTGCGCACACAGACAGGCACACGTGCACGCACGCACATGCTTAAGCGACGCACTACATAAGGGGTCGAGACGTAGTACCTCCTAAGCAGTTCAGCCAGAGATTAATAAACATGAAGCAGTCCGTTGATTCTAAAAGTCAAAGGATTTACCTTTCTCGATAATAAAACCGGAAACATCCTTATGGATATTTTTAAACATAAACTCCTGTGCTATATTCCCTATAAAATGTTTTAAATTCAGGGGATCTCTGAATCTTTTATAATGTCAAACGACTTTTAGAGATTTGGGGATTTTTGGAGAGTTAAAAGTTAAGTATTTAAGGTGATAGTCAAACTAAGTTTACCATTAAATTACTGTTTGGGGCACGGCGCATGTGTCAGCCAGAGACTGGTTTTTCAGATTCCCAAAGGAAACAGGTCATTAAAACAAATGCTCAAGAGGGTTTAGCAACAGCAAAGAACAAACTTATGAAATCTGTGACACTGTTAGACTTCCATCTGTTTCAGGAGCTGTTGACAGTACATGTGGGGTTATCCAGACACTGTTTCAAAATGATGTGAGTGGTCGGGACGTTAATCATCTGCCGACTCACTGTGGGAGGAGGACTCGGCGCCAGGTGCAGCGCAACAGCTGCTGTCCCTCAGTTACCGGGATCGTGTCACAATTCATTTCCATTATGGCAGTCTGGTGTTCAAAATCTGCTTCAAGCTAGTCACACATATGCTGAACGGCTGCTGGGTAAGCATGTTTCCCAAGGTAATATATGATACTGAGCAGGTTCTGGGTTAATTAATATATTTCCGATCTGCAAGAATCATTTGGAGTTGTCTCTGGACAGTCATGTCAAAACCTTAAGGTTCTAGATCTTAGACTGGGATGAAACTCATAGGCTTGCCAGGACCATGACAGAGCATTTCATATCTGATGCTAATATATTGTAAAATGTGTGCTAATGAATAACAAATGTTGTCACACAGTCTTTGCATGTTGTCGTATTCATTCAAGATTTCAGAACTTTAAAATGCATCTTCAATATGATTCAAGTATATAAATATTAAGGAGGCATTAACCTTTATCAAAATGATCTTTTCTTGTGTTAAAAAGATCAAAATTTAGCATAACAGGGCACAAAATTTGACTTTGCTGCAGTGCAGTTGATGAATGGACAGTGACTGACCCCAAATTACTCATGTAAAGGCTGTGAGACCTTTCATTTCCGCTTCTTTGGGAACGGCTGGGGCAGGAGTGGGGATGGGCAATGGCAGAGAAAAAGGGATGTTGTTAATAGCGAGAAAAGAGTAAACTGAAGGGTGCCAGTTCTTTAATTAACATGCGGCCTGTCGGCTTGTCATCCTTCAGCACAGAGAATAAAAAAACCCTGCGGGCACAAAATAAAACAAGCCTTGGAGAGTTTTCTCATCCCAGACAACCTACAGAGTTTGTGTCAATTTGGAGTCACTGATGCAAACATTTTGTTCAGATACTTTATTTGTTTTCCACCCACATGGCATCAACAAGAATGTTTTCAAGGTCAAATGAGTATTTTGGTAAGTCGGGATGTGATGTGAGTCCATGAACTGACTTCCTTGAGGCTGATCAGAGACCTTGGTGAAGCAAATTGGGGTTTAAGCTTGTCTTCAGACCAGTGATTCACTGATACAGCTATCAATTCCCTTTAGAAAAACAAACAAAACAAAACACTTTCTCTAGCCAGATTTGCAACAGATTTCCAACCTCAGGGGAACCCAAGCCACAAAAAATAACACAACAAAATGATTCAGTTTTGTGTTACTTTGTCAGAATCTTTAAGTTTGGAGGTAACTATTTTGACCAGCATAGAACTCTTGTATCATTTCCCACCCTATAACGATAGCATCCAACCTGTTCACCACCTGTTCCCGTCATTGGGACCAGGGTGCCTGGTACAAAGTAGGGGTTCAATATATAGTATTTGTCGAACAAGAACAAGAAGAACAGGAGCAACAGCAGCAACAGTGACAGTAGAGAGCAAGAGTCAAACAATAAAAAGCAGCTCTTTGAATTAGTTTAGAAAACATCTCAAAGAGTATTTTTTTTTTTTTTTTTTTTTTTTTTTTTTTTTAGGTACTGGGAATCAAACTCAGGACCTTGTGCTTGCCAGGCAGGCACTTGTGCCACAGAGCTATATCCCCAGCCCCTCAAAGAGTATTAAGTTGTAATTAAAGTCTTTTATTACGACTCATGTCCAAGAAGCTTCTAAGGTTCTTGTCAATTTCCAACATAATAAGCTCTTATTTTGTAAATAATCTGTTTATGCTTCTGCATTTATGTGCAATAAAAAAGTGGGAAATTTATCACCCCTGGACTATAGAAAATAAATCCAAATTGTAGGTACTGACTACATTAAAACAAAGAGGATATGCTCTGTGGGGGAATGATATAAATTTTAGGACATTTTAAATTATGGTTTCATAAACAATTATATGTCACGCCTTGTCAGAATAATATTATTTACCCAAGTATTTTCGTCTCTTCGTTTTGAAGAGAAGTCATTTCATGAAAACAACCTACACAACAGTTACAGCAGGACACCACGAGTGTAGTTATGGAATTGGAGCCACTGTTCCCCACGAGACTGATTAATACCTGGGTTTGGGTGTCTTAGGTTGAGCTCTATTTAGAGGGACTCACTGGATCACTGTGGTTCTCATGGATTTATTTAGAAAAGGAAGATGAGAAAGAGTGATGATTTCATCCCTGAATAAGAACATATTACTCCTGACAGTGCAGTTTTGGGCTGGGGATATAGCTCAGCGCTTAAGTGCTTCCCTGGCAAGTGCGAGGTCCCGAGTTTGATTCCTGGTACCAAAAAAACAAACAAACAAAAGAACATATTAGATAGAACACCTTGGATGACTTTATATATCATAATTATTTGAGTCAACAATTGTCTTCCCACCCCTCATTCCCCAATACTGCTGTTGCCATATTGATTACATCCTGTCATAGTTTATAATGCTAAAAGATAAGTCTGGTCATTTGCAGAAGTACCTCCTAAATTGTGAATGTTTAAGACTTAACTCAATTTGTAAATGGTTGCTGTGGCAATGTCTGCTAGTTATCTCCTAGCATGTTACATAAATGAGCCAAAGATGATCTCTGTGTTTTTGCCCCTGAATTGCTTATTTTTTCATTGCAAGCTGAGACCTATTAATTCAAAAGATTGAAAGTGCCAAACTCAAATTTTTACCCACTCAATTATTTTAAAAATAGTCTAAGCAAGTAAAGCTTATCCATTTAATACCTATCTGCTTTGCATACATATAATAAGTACTTCACTCCACTTCTGCTGGCCTTTGTTTAGATAGAGCTTTAGGTTATAAGACCCAACCTCTATGATCCTTCAGAGCTCTCTGGCTGAGAAATTCTGTGCCAGTGTGCGCTTCACCCAGGCACAGGAATCCTCTCCTGAAGGACTTTCCCTTTTGTACAGCTTGTACAACAATTATTCAGCAAGGCGTGTGTGTTACTGCCGCTCACCTTTTTTTGATTAATACCCAAATCCCTTGAATCTGGACACAATATCATTCACCTGCTCCCACAAGAACAGAAACCTTACTTTTCATTAGACATAGAACCAGTAGAATGAATACTACATTTCCCAATGGCTTTGGTGGGGGCTGGTGATGTGGGTAAGTGTGGTAGGGAGAAGCAGAAGTCTCTTAGCAACAGTTTCAAGAATCTTCTTTTAAAAAGACTACTGACAACTACCCTTTATCCTTTATCTTTGTTTCTTTGTTTTTTCCTCTTTTTCATTGATTGGAATGCAGACAAGATGGTTGGAGTGGAAGAAGCTGACTTGGAACATAGAATTAATTTAGGAGTGCAAGCCATGCACAAAGATGACAGAAAGACCCTGGTTCCTTGAAGACATTTTGGAGCAGATCTGTCATACCAGACTTGCATTGCTTGGAAGATACAAACTTCTGTTTTGTTTAAACCATTGTTATTTTATCTTTCTTACACTCCCAGATAAAATAAAAATGAACTGATATCATTGGCTTATATAATAAATAGCATTAATTAATAAAAAAGTTGAAGGTGACAGTAAAGAGCTCTTATGCGAGTGCGGTGAAGGTGAAGAATGATAAAGGAAAATCTAGCATTCATAGCATGAATTTCCCCATCCATGGTCATTCAGTTGTTAACTGGAGGCGGTAAGAGTCACACCTAATTCTGTCTGCTCTGAATCCTATTCCCTTTACTACTACCTGCAGCCTCTACACCAGTGAAAGGGGGTATTGTGAAACACTATGAGAAGTAAGTGAAATAATGTATTGAGTATTCTTTGCACAGAGTCAGAAGATAAGCTGTTTTTTTAATATATGCTAGTTTTTTATTATCATGGCCTTTAAGTATACATTCTGAGATGTCCTTTCTGCTCCCTGCAGTGCAGTCAACTTAAGCATTTCTCCTGTGCCTGCTACCATTCTTTTACTATATATCTTCTATGGCACTTAATCTTCTGTGTTCTAATAATTTCCTTCCAGACTATATCAAGGTATTATCAATTACAGAATACCAGAAACTTAATACTAATACTAATCACAAGATAGACTAATTTAAAATGTTAATCTTTCAAGAGTTCTCTGAAAATTCAGATTTAGAGGGTCTGAAGTGCTGTCTAGAAATCTGTACTTTTTAGCAAGTTCAGGTGATTCTGTCTGTCATCATCATATCATCATCATCATCATAATGATTACAATCTCGGGGCTGGGGATTTAGCTCAGCGGCAAAGCGTCTGCCTGGCAAGCGCAAGGTCGTGAGTTCGGTTCCCGGTACCGGAGGGGGAAAAAAAAAAATGATTACAATCTCCATTTATACAGTTGTAGCTGGTACTTATGAGGCATATTTGAAATATATCATAGATATTTAAATTTAAAATTATTACAGTAAAGAGCACATGATCATTAATCTCCTTAAAATTCTCCCCCTCGCTTTAAAATCATATTTGTCTCATTATCCTTGCCTCTTTCTGAAGCAGCTCTGAAGGTATTCTTTTGTGGGTGTCTATGAGGTGTGATAAAACATACTGTGAATGCTGCCTCTGAGTGTCATCCAAAGGAAAACAGGCTTGCGAAGCTTTACAGTGTGTGCTTATCCATCTTATTAACTGGCTCTGACTCGGCAAGACTTCAGCCTCTTCTCCAAAGTCATTATTTTGTCTTTCTAAAATGACCATGAAAGGGAAATATTTTGAAGTGAAATTTAAGGCATACAGTATCATGTTTTGAGATACATACACATTGTGAAATGATTACTACAATCAAGCTCATTAATGTATCTATCACCTCACTTATCGCAGTTCTTAATTTGTTCTGCTTAGAAACATTGTATAGTAGCACAAATAAAAAAGCTTTTAAAATGTTCTTCTCATCTCACTCCCAGAGACAGATTTAAAAAATTAAGTGAACACAAATCTAGACAATTTTCTGACATTTCCTGACAATTTCCATACATTCATACACTTTTTAAAATAAAAAATTGGCACTGCCATATGCACTGCTCTTTCACTGTACATATGTAACCTCTTTCACTTAACAGAGTGTAGTGCACACTTTTTCACCTCAATAAAATCATACCAACATCATATAACTATGTAATTAATAACGTTTTACACCCCCCATTATCTTCCCTTACCCCCTCTTATTTCCATTTGTCTAATAATCTCCCTCCTACTTTCATGTCATCTTTTTTAGATTCCATATATTAGGGAAAACATGCAATATCTGTTTTTCTGAGTATAGCTTATTTCACTCAACATGAGGATCACCAGTTCCATTCATTTTCCCATAGATGATCTAATTCCATTTTTCTTGGCTGCTGAATAATGCCCTATTGTATACATATATCACATTTTCTTTAGCCATTCATCTATTGATGGGCACCTAGGCTGGTTCCATGTCTTAGCGACTGTGAATTGTGCTACAATAAAGGGGTATACAGGTGTCCCTGTAGTACACTGACTTTAATTCCTTCTGGTATATATCAAGGAATGACATAGTTGGACCAAAGGATAGCTCTATTTTTAGCTTCTTTTTCATTTTTATTATCCCAAAGCAAAACACTCTACCTACTCCCTATCATCTCCCAGTCTCTCCACACTACATCCTGGCAACCACTGAACTACTCTATAACCTTCATTGATTTTCCTATTCTTGGAATTTATTTATTTTCTTCTTCAAAATAGTTAATACTTATAGCACAATAGTTCATACTTATAGCAATAATAAAGAGCTTAACATATCCAAAAGGTCTCTGCAAAGAGGTCTCTCCTACCATACACGAGTGAAACTAAAAACGAACAGCAGAAACATACTAAGAATACAATAACTTCTTTTCCTCTCTTTTTTCCTATTAACTTTTTCATGTAAGGGAATCCATGCAAGGTTCAAGCCTGTGTGTCTCATTTACTTAACATTATGGTTTCAAGGTACATCCATTTTCCTACAAATGCCTCGAGTTTATCTTTCTTTATAGCAGAGTAGTGCTCTGTTGTGTATAAGTACCACATTTGTTTTATTTTTCTCTGATGATCATATAGGCTGTTTCCAAGATTTAGCTATTATGAACTGTGCTGCTATAGACTCAGGTATACAAACATCACTGTGGTATGATGTTCTTAACTGTCTTGGAAAGATACCCAAAGGAGGATAGTTCCTCTTAAAGAAAGTCTTCCTTGCTGTCTTTAACAAGGGATGTGAACACTTGTATGGATGATTGTCTTTAACTGTCAATTCTTAAATATAGTAGTACCACTTCCATTTGATGGTTCTCATGATGAGTTCAGTTGGGAAAACTGCCTATTAGATGATGTGCCCCCGGCAGGCAGACAGGTTGCTAGACTTTAGGTCTAAAATGTTCTCCAAATGTCCTATGTGTTTGGAAGGTGATTGGATCGGAGTGATTGGATCACCTATATCCATAGGTGAATTAGTCCACAGATGAGTTTGTAGCCACATTGTTATTAGGAGGTATGGCTTGGTTAGAGGAAGGTTCCCGAGGGCACGACACTGCACTCCCTTCTGAGTCTAACTCTCTCTTGCTTCCTGGCTGCCATGGGTTGGCACCTTTTCCTCCAGCATGCCACTCTGCCATCCTGTTTTTGCCCTGGAGATGGCTGATTATGGACTAAAACTATGATCCAAAAATCAACTTCTTTTCCTTTAGGTTGTGAGGGTCGAGTATTTTGTCCCACAACAAAAGGTGACTAAGATTCAGGACTTACTGATCTTTCTCTCTGTGCCTAAACTACATGAAGCAATTGGTAAAAGTGTGGAATGAATTCTTTACCTTCAAATGTGCTCTGAAGGGCGAGTACAAGGCAGCAGACAAAGACTGGTGGTGTAATGACCAGACTGGAGGCCAGGGTCTAGGAAAAAGAGCACAACCAAGTCTCAGAGGATCAGGAGCTGGAGCCATATTTGGAGATCGGCAAGCATCCAGTTGATTGAAACATGGGATACATATAGGGAAATAGTGGGACAAAAGTTTGAAAAGTGTGTTTGGATCATGTGACAAGACCTGTGAACACCAGGGTCTGAATGCCACTGATTTTGGCTGGCAGTGGAGGGTCCCTGTGAAGGCTCTTGAGAAAGACAGTGATGCAATGGAAGCTGTACATCTCTAAGATTTACCTGGCAATGGCATGAAGCCCTGACTGAAGAGAGAGGAGATTAAAAAGATACCACTTCAGAGGCTTTGCAGTAATCCAACAAGATAATGAAAGTCTGAACTAAAGTGGCGGAGAGGGAAGATTCAAGAGGCATTCAAAGGTTACTGATCATTTCTCCAACCATAGCACAGATAATGTCTCATTGCTGTCTATTTTTATCAATCATAGATAGCTAAGATTGGTTATAGTATGATCATATTTTACAGTGAATATATCAAAAACTCAGAGACCTTGAGTTTCCCAGAAGTGCACAGAATGTATAGATAATTTGCAAAACTGATAAAATTAAATAATAGAATAAAACAAAATGGTTAGCTAAAGAACCTTGTTGACTGGGAAGGGCGATTTCCTATAAAGACATTTATTTAATTAAAATGAAGTTCAGGAGGTCATGCTGATTTGGTATCTTCCTATAAAACCCTTTTGTAGGTTTTTTTCCCCAGATATTTCCTAGTCTCATAAATTAAAATATTCAAGTTAAAAATTTCTCTCGGAAGAAAATAATAAGCACAGTGGTCCTCTGCAATGTGTATGAAGCAATTATCTAGAATAGCATTAATTGACCAGGTGCTGTTAATCAGTATAATGTTAAAACTGCATACAGTCTAACAGCTTCTCACAAAGGAGAACAGTTTCAGAGATTGTTTTAAGCTTTGCTGATAGTCTTAGTGGGGAGTTTATCTCCCTGGAACTCCTCTCGTCTTCCCCTTCTCTAGAATACAGGGGAACTCTTTGGTTCCTGGAAAGTCACCTCCACCCCTAGCTGCAAGGAAGAAACCAGAGATGTATGCTAATTAATGTTTTCCATCACCATGTCTCCCACCTCCAAATGTTTTTCTATTTCCGCAGTGAATGTGACAAGGAACCTATAGCAGATCACTGGTTTAACTGGATAAAATAATAAGAATACTTATTTTCTCTTACAACAAGAAGTCTAATGTAAAGCAACCCCAGCCACACCACAAGGGCTCCAGGTCTCAGCTCTCTTAGTTCCACTCAGGATATTTTTCCTATAAGAAGGTTGCCAGCAGATTCTAGGACAAGATATTTCTTTTCTCATACCACAGAGGTGAAAAAGAGAGGAAGTCTCTTGTTTGATACTACTGGGCTAATGTAGGACAAATGCTCATCTGAGTGAGTAACAGACTAAGAGAATATCTTTGTTATTACAACTTAATTCTTGATTTAATTCTTTGAAAAAGGTACAAACATACTAAGCCTGGATTGCATTATTCAGCATTCTGGAACCAGGGTAAATATCCAAAAATAGGCATGTTCTTTAGGAAGGCAAAAGTTAGAGGTAGGAAAAATACGAGTGC